TGCTGGGTACCATCCTTTCGCTTACCTTCATCCTTAGTGTTATTTCTAGTTTTTTTTTTTTACTTTTTTTTCCAAAAGCGTTTCCCATGGAAGTCTTTGTAGCGAGGCTGGTAGTTTACATCACGTTCTGCAGTTGTGGGAGCTGTGATGCGGGGACCTTATTCCTCAGAGACATGCTTTCCAGCGAGACTTAAGAGCCTTCCCCTGTTTCTTTGTAACCCAGCAGACACCATCTGTTGTCGAGCAGCTGTTGTCACCTCCTCTCGTCAGATGCTTGTAACCATTGATATGTTTCTGTGTGACCATGCAACACCCTCCCAGTCTCTCTTCTCCAGAATGAACAGGTCCAGGTCCCTCAGACTCTCCTCGCAGAAGAGATGATGCAGTCCCTTATTCATACCATTGGTCTTCTTGGGCACAAGGGGCACCTTGCTCTCCAGCAAGGCTGCCCCAGTTTCCACTGCTGTCACGGTTTATTTCTCCATAGCTGCAGGACGCTTGCCCTTAATGAAGTTCCCACGGCCCCATCTCTCCAGTGGACTGAGGTCCCTCTGAACGGCAACAAAGACACCTGATGTATCTATTCTATTTTATACTCTTGCTCAGTAGTTTTTGTTCTCTGTTGTAAATCATGTAAATCGTTAACTGTCTTTTGGGTTTTTTTCATATTCTTGAAAATGCATGCTTGGTAAAATCCCTATATATTTTTTTTTTTTTATTATTATGTCATGAGGCCTGGGTGATCATGAGAAGTTTAAAGATCTGCCTGAGGATCTTGGAGACGTCCGGGAGGACGTGGCCGGTGTCATAACATAAAAAGCAGAGAATGCCTGCTTGTTGTAAGAAAGCATTTTCGCGAAGAGGTATGTCGAGGATTCCTGGAGAAAAGTCTGAGTCAAGAAAGTTGTTCCCAGATGCTTGTCAGTGATTGTTTTGCAGTTGCAAGAACCTCGAGTAGGAGGTCCTGCTGATCTTGAGAGGGTACTTGGTGTTGAAAAGCACCCTTTTCCTTTAATTGTGTGAATCATCCTGACCCCCCCCCCAAAAAAAAAAAAGAAAAAAAAAAAAGAAAAGAAAAAG